TAACACTCGCTCTGATTGATCTGATTGTTAATGGTGAATGTTATTTACGAAAGTGGAATGAAGCGGGTTTCTGAAAAACAATCTTTTAAGAAGTGAATAACGATTGAAGTGAATGTATACACATATCTGTAGCAAGGTAAAGTCATGTAGAAGGGAACGGTAGGTTTTTTTTCGCGCCAATAGCGCCGTACGGGCCGCATTCGCAGCGCATGCATTTTGCATGCGATCTCACGAAATTTCAATGAACCCCATTCTGTCCCAATATAACCCTCACCAAAATATAAATAAAGTTATATGGGACAGAATTATTCGGTCTACACCAGCATATGATCGATCAATGCCAAAGTTTCACTGTCACTGAACACTTACTCACACTCTCTCCGTCACAACTCACCGAGGGTCAGGTAGCAATACCAATATATCAGGGTGATGCACTAAAAGATAGGGTAACTATAGCCTAGGCTAGCCACAAGTTACTTTCTCACTACGTGGTTAGAAAGTTTTTCGTATGGAAGGGGAGGTCAGGCTCCTACGACGTGAAGCAATCGTAGAGCCTGGCCCGTCTACTGTCTAGGGTAACTAGAGCTATACTGTACATAGCTTCTCAAATAGCCAGCCTCTCCCTTCACAGTCACTTGGTATGTTCTGGTGATCTGATGATAAAAAATAGCACTGTAGAATGGTAAATAAATACGAATAATGTTGACCTCCGAAGTTATATAGATGTACAAAATTTACTATAATCGTTAAATAATGATAAGTAAATGCTGAATATACCCATCTACAATACTAGTATCAGAGGTGAATAATAATGGATTATTAATAATCTATTATTATTCACTCCTGACACTATCTTGCCTCATTCGTTCGTCTGTGTGCAGATACAAACAAATCACATCCCAAGATATAACTAAGAAGCACGATCTGAATTCTTTGTTTATTTGTAGAGTAAAGGCAAGGAAAATTGGAAAGCATGCCTGTACATCAGATTCAGTACTCGGACCGCTACAATGACGGCAAGTTTGAATATAGGTAATGTTGTTTGTGGAATTAGGAATTAAAGAACGGTATGAACATGTGAATTCCTGAACACTGAGTTTATTAATGCATATGTACACCTGAGATGTGTTGCTACTCAAGACGGTTGATGTTCCTGTTGAGTAGTTATGGCAAGTAAAGGCTAGCTGATGCACTATGTCATAAATATTTCATCGATAGTTGCAATTGTGTCTGGGCTTAGCTAATGCAATTGTTGGATTTATTTTACAGGCCCTTTTTATTTCCCAGGGAGTTTATAGTATGCAATGTGATAATTATGATCAGAGGTGTGAAAATGATCTATGTTTCAGCATTTTCTCACTGTAGAACTCAATGGCTCGCCGTTGATAATAGATTTATTGTCTTTCATTCACCGACAGGCACGTGATTCTACCTCCGGATATCGCCAAACTTGTTCCAAAATCTCACCTGATGTCCGAGACAGAGTGGAGAAAGATTGGAGTGCAGCAGTCCCCTGGCTGGATACATTACATGATCCACGAACCAGGTAGGAGTGACGCCACCTAGTGGCTAAAAGCGTAGACAGTGTTTAGAAGTTGTGTAATAATATTTACATTGTTATTGTCATAAAATGCAGACAACTCACATGTTTTAAGGTTGGATATTAAAATCTAAGAAGGTTGTTTATGCATCATCAGCACTACGTAGAAGAATTTCATGCTTAGACCCTGCTACAATACATTGTACCTTCAATGTGCTAGTGAAAGCCTAAACTATATAGAAGCTGTTGTTACCTTACTGCCCACAGAGCCTCACATCCTGCTATATAAACGTCAACTACCATCCCAGAGTGGCAGCACAGCAAGCAGCGTGACACAACACACTGCAATCCCCTGCTTGTAGTGATGATCATAGCTGGCTAAGATGTGTGATTATATCTTGGAAGATGTGCGATGTAATGCCATACCACTTGTATAGATCCATGCTCACATGTTGTACAGTTCGCTGTGTGTTGTAGTGGGAAGCACAATTTTGAATATATGTTTACTAGATCCTATGATATATAGTATGTAAATGAACACTAGGAGGTAGAAATCAGCCTAATTGAAATTCCACTGTTCTTCGATAGGTCGTTCGGGAATATATGTTGATAGATATTAGCATTTTTCTTTTAAACAATTATATCTTGTGTACTTTTTCATTCGTAATTGTTGTTCGAGTTTTAAAGGCCGGTTCTTTTGTATGTTCTCGTCTTAATATTTATACACGTAGTTCTTATTTCTTTCCACTGAGCTGCTGTATGGTAAAGTGCTACCTAGGATATTTCTGATTTCATGTTGTCATGTGAGGCTGAACTACGATGCTCTAACAAATTTGATAATGTAAAAACGTTTACATTTCTTTTACAAACCGAATTCGTGTTTGTGGTGTTTGGTATTTCATGATCCTTCATAGCTGTTGTATGTAAATAGGAAGGAAACTTGAAAAAGCAACTTAGGATACGATGTGAGGTTTCTCGTATGAGATACTTAAAAAATACTCGGCTGCGACCAAATACGCGAAATATATAAGAAATAAGAAATTGGTCTTAATAAGGTGACTAGGTAGTGGGTACAGAAAATAGATCAACTGGATAATATGTATTTTTTATTTAATTTGTGCACTCATGTCGTTTGCCTTTCCTGGTATTGCATTTATTGCCATTTGTAAACAAAATGTAATAAACGGTTTTTAAGTAGCCTATACATCAAGCTGACATGTTTTTCTTCATGTTTTAGACATTATTGAGTTCTGTTAGTTATTTTGGGTTTATTAGTACTTTCAATGCCAAAATTTACTCAATAACAAATGAAGTTATTAACCGAGAATGGAGAAAAGCTTAAAATATGTGTGCTTTACCAACAGTCAAACTATCCATCACTATCCGTTTACTCGTCCCATGGGTGTCCTTCCTTACAACATAGTTAGATCAAAGTTTTGTTTTTTAAAAGAATAAATTACATTAATATTTATTATTTAACAGTATTAAATTTAAAAAGAAGTTAAAAACGCACTTTTCATGGGTAAAAGGTCGGCTGCCTAGATTAATGCACGCACGCATTTCTCTTCACGCACGCATGCACGCATTTCTCTTGACGCACGCACGCATTTCTCTTAACGCACGCATGCACGCATTTCTCTTCACGCACGCAAGCATTTCTCTTGACGCACGCACGCATTTCTCT